GAGGAGATGGGTGGCATGTGGATTTAATAAATAAATAATGATATATTGGAAATGAACCCAAAATACTGTATTCCAAAATTGTTGCTATGAGCCACTTTATGTTTAACATTAAAATGCAATGTATAGATACTTTCTCTGGAATGAAGATTCTTGAAGAATGCTAGTACATCTTAAACAATGCCTTAAAACTAGTATGTCATGTAGATTGAGGGTATTTTATTTTACATAGAAGACAGCAGAAATACTGCCCAATTAAGATCACGGTATGAAGCCACTAATAATTTTAGTGAGCTTCATGGTGTTAACATTTCTGTCTTAGTATATAAGCCACACAGTACTTTAGTTGCAGTGGTGGAAATATAAACTGGCATTTTTGGCACAACCACCGCATGTTTGGAATCCCCTAACATGAGCAACTCATGCTTTAAATGTTTGCAAAGAGTACAGATGTTAAAAAATAATCTTTTTAATGGGTATGACCTAAGGTAATATTCCAAAACAGATTCTGATGGGGCACAGACAGGCAACAACAAGTACAATTCCAGAGCTTCAATAAATCTCAAAATTAGTTCAAAAATTGATCTGGGAAAGTTACAACAAAACAAGATACCTATAACTGATGAATTTTTAAAAATATAAACAGAATGTTATAAAGCACATATACTGTGTATCTTTCAAGTAGTTATTAAGATGGTTATATTGAAAAAAAAACCCTAATTTGAAGAACTTGCATATATAACTATGCACATTAAGGAAATGACCATACTGGTAGAACTTGATTTATGACTATTTAATTTAATGACTGTTTGAATTATGATGGCATTGAATAAAGAGAATTATGACCACTTCCTCAGATTTACAATTGTTGCAGCATCCCTACAGTCACATGATAAAAATGTGGGAGCTTGGCAACTGGCATGTACTTATGACAGTTGCAACATCCTGGGATTGCATGATTGCCATTTGCAATCTTCCCAGGAGCATTTTGACAAGCAAAATCAATGGAGCAAACTGAATTCACTTAAAGACCAAGGTAATTCACTTAACAATCACAGCAAAAAAGGTAATCAAATCAGGGGTGACTCCTTTAATGACCACTTAGCAATGGAAGTTCTGGTCCCATTGCTAAGTTGTCATTAAAAGTTAGCTATTTATTTATTACTATGGATATTTTTTTAAAAAAACTCAAACCCTGAATTAAGGATGCAAATTGAGAAGTGGTGAATACAAATACTGCCATTCATTAAAAAAAGATAGAGGCCTGTCAAGAATGAAATGCTCTTCTGAAAATGTTGCTGCCAAAAGCATCTGTCTGCACATTTCTCATCATTTCTGTCTTTGTATTTCTTGTGTCACATGTCATGCTTGATAAATCAGTAAAGTTACTATCAGTCACTTTTTATCATGTATCTTCTGACAAGTCAGGTGAAAAGGCACTTATTTAAAAGGATTATTATTTTCATTTCTATTTTCTTTTAAATTTCCAACTGATACTGAACCAGTTGTCCATAAGATTGTTATTTCTTATTTTTAATTCAGTTACATCAACAAACAGAGGTTATATGGCTATATGCAAGTGAATTGAATCTGATAAGTTATTATTCATACATATTATTCATTCATATTCATTATTATTCAGCCATGAAAAAAACCCTGTTCGTCTTCAGATATTTTGACTTCAATTCTTATTAGACTCCGATTCTAAGTAGCAAGATATTATGGGATTTATTTATGCTGTAAATTAGACTGATTTAAGCAGCGACATTATCAAATGGAGATTACATTCTCCTCTGCATTCTAATCTTACAGGTGAGATACTGCAAATCTATTTAGGTAATGCAGCTGATGGTAGGCCATAATAAATACCTCTCTTTTTCTTTTTTGGTTGGATGGTTTTCACAATGCCACTGAAACCAAGCATTATTCTGGTCTTGGGAATACTTACTCATTACGCTTACAGATAGTCCTTCACTTATGGCAATTTGTTAAGAGACTATTCGAAATTACAACCCAGCAGTGAAAACTGAATTTACAACCCATGCCCAAAGTTATCACCATTGCCAATGTCCCCAGGCCTTTTCTCTAACTCCTTAAGCCCCACACCAACACTGCAAAGCCCCAATTGAACCTACCCCACTGTGTTTCACAGCCTCTGCCATCCCTTCATGACCTTCATAATTTTTCTCCTGCTGCTGAGAGGCGTGTCTGGTTTATTCGAGGCAGCAGCTGGCCACTCCAAAGTTTCTTCCTGAGACTGCATCATGCCACTCTCCAAGCTGTTCCTGCCATTCCTTCTGCAACTAATGTCCTGCTTCAGAAGCTTCATTACCCCAAAATGAACGAGGCTTCCAAAGAATTGTGCAATTTGGAGAAGCAATGGTGCTTGGAGAATGGCACAAGAGGGTCTCAGGAAGTAGGTTTGTCACAGCCAGCAGCTTCCTCACACAGGCTGGGTGTGCCTGCCAGCAATGGGAGAAAAATGGTAAAGGTCAGTGGGGGCATTTGGGACTTCGCAGAATGATATTGGTATGGCTGGGTATGATGTGAGGCATGAGGTGGCATTTTACAGTGACAGTGTTAGTACTGGGGCTGAATTAGAGGCTGAGGGCAGTGGCAGTACTGTGCAGGGTGGCTAAAAGAGCATAGATCAGGGAAGAGATAAGCGGGTGGGAAGAGTTGAAGCAACCCTACAGTCATAATTGTTGCTGGAACAGGTGAGTAGCTGAGTGCAGAAGCTTTCCTGGGTGCAGAAGCTTTGCACTACACCGTTGGACTGGCATGGCTGACGCTACCAGGAGCGGCTGTGGTTTTGCAATACACAGCACATCTCCCCATCTTGTACATAGCCTGCATCAAGTCTCCCTCTCCACCGCTGAGGCACTCCTGTGTGTCTTACCTGGGACTCTGTCCCTCTTAATGTCCCACAATTCTCACTTAACAATGGCAGCCAGAAGTGCCCTGATTGCAGTCACTAAGCAAAATGGTCACATGACACCTCACTTAATGACTATATTGCTTAGCAACCAAGATTCTAAGCCCAATTGTAGTTGTAAGTAAAGGACTATATGTTATATTCCATCTTACCAAGTTGGTATACATGATTTTTCAAAGCACCATAAATGATTCCTAGTCCAACCTTTCAGCAACCCCATGTAGTAATTTAGATTGGGCACCAGCAATTGCGCTTCATGACTAAATACTAAAGGTGCCTTCCTTTATTTTATTTTTTAATAAAACAAGTGATCTTCTGCCAGATACCTGCACTGTGCCTTCACTGCAGTGCAACAGTTCTGTCTTATGGAACATTCCTTTGCTTAAACCAGCTGGCTAGATGGAGTTATCCCTATGGGGCTTATTTTAAATTACAGAGAATAGGTAGATAGGACCTCAGTCAAACATGTTCATACAAATTAGCATTTCCTTTGTTTGATCCAGTTAATAAACAGCAGGTTCCCATCCAGGAAAGTAAGATAACTTTCTTATAAGAGCATTTCTAGTACAGTTGTACCAAAATAGTGATAAAATCCTGGCTAAATCTTTATCAGTCTTTCAGTGCATATTCAAGGAAACATTGACGTATAAAGTATCTTGAAACATAAATTTTCTTGGCAGATGTGATGCCTATAAACCAAATTCTATATCCTGTTTTATTTCCTGGTCTTGCAAGAGGGCTTTTTCTGCCTTTTTTTTGTTTTTGTTTTTGATGGCTTAGAAATTCTGCATTACTTCTTTGACCTGCAAAATGGAGAGGAAAGGAGAGGTCATATTATCCTCCAGCCTTTCTTCTTCTTCTTATGGTTGAAAACACTAGATTTTTCCTTTCCAACAATACTGATAACATTTACATGATTATTTCTAACTGCTTATATTGTTCTTCCTTTTCTCATCCTGATAAATTGCTAGTGGATGCCCAACACATGAAGGAGCCATTTGAGAGCATTATTTACTTTACTGACTAAGAATAATGCTGTCTTTTGTAAGCTAATTCTTTGCAGCTAATCCATGGCCTGAGGCCACTTGGAAAAGATTTTGGTTGTGACTCAGAAGTTATTTATAATTTGGAAGGATTTAGGGTTCAGGCAGAATCAAATATGCTCCTTGCTCCAGCTCAGTGCATGCAATCCTTTAAATGGACCTTCCATTATTGTGAAAATGACTGCCAAATTTAATGACGTTTTCTTATGTCTGTATGTTAGAAATTCTGCTTATATAAACACCACATAGAGCAAATAGAGCACAGTGACCATGTGCTTTACTGCTAAACTATATAACCATAACAGGAAACAGGAAACTCTACTTAGAACAAAAGAGCATAGAGTATATACCTTAGACCCAAATTTTTAAACACTGCCATCTATTGGCTAAATATCTATTGCATAAAATACATTTCAACAATGAATTCCAATACTGTAACCCCACATCCTGTTGCAAATTTCTCAGAGTAATATCTGCAGGAGCAGTGAGGGTTAGGGTTAGGGAATCAAAATAATTGACAGCATAATGTTACAAGGTAAAGTCTATTTGGAATCAGTTGTTGCTTCTAAACAGTCCTGAAATCTCAGTCAAGTTATATGCATATGGACTTCAACTCCCAGAATTTCCCAGCCAGTATGCAAGCATCAATTAAATTTTATAAGTGTAAAATGTAGAAAACAAGAAAGGCAAGAAGTATACAATTATTGAAAGAGACTTCCCAACATAATAATGGATTTTCTGTCTAATCTTTTTATTTGTATTAACTATTTTATTGACTTAAAGAATGGAATTAATTTCATGATATTTCTGCATATATGTTGCTTTAAATTAATATTTCAAGCTTCATATTTCTAGTACCAACACAAGAAGTTTAAAGTTGCTTTCTTCACTGGAATGTGAAGAAAAAAACCCATAAAACAAACCTCCTGCTTTAAATTAAATCCAGACTATTTGATTGAAGATTATGTAATCTGGAATTCAAATATATCTCACAGCATTCCACTGAAATATGACATATTACTCACCAAGATTGGTGTTTTAGATATGAATCCCTCAATCCTCCTTGCCCACTATATGAGGAGGCTAAACCGATGTAGTATTCCTTAACAAATCTAGATTTACCTGTAACAAACAAAAATACAATCTATTACCAATAATTGAATATAATCAAATGTGCTGTGATGTATAGCAGGGGTGTCAAACTCTTATTGTCATGGTGTCATCACATGATATATCGGGACTTTCCCCCACTTTGCTAAACTGGGTGTGGGTGTGGCCAGCCTGTGACACATCCGGCCCATAGGCCGGGAGTTTGACAGTCCTGATCTATAGGTACCTGTTGCTTATAAAGTTAAAGATATTTTCATTTGATCATTGTTGGAATGAATTCACAAAGATAGAATGATTATGGCCACCTGTACCTTTAGAACAAAATAAGGCTTTTCCAAATTTCAATATAACATGAATGTAGAGATATCTTTTCCTGAACCAGTATATTGACCAGCCATTCACATGGCTCCAGAATGATACTAATTTCAGGATACCCATAGCATTTTACCTTACAGTTATTTAGATTTAGTGTGGAACATCAAGTGGGAAAAAACTTTCTGGCTGACTTTTATTGTCACATAAGTCAGCTTGACCATGTGAAGGGGGAGATATAAAGGGGGAAATATGGAACAAAGGGGAAACATTGTTGTCTTCTCCTTTAAAGCTATCTCACCTTTCCATGTGGCGCAGCCATAAAATAGCAGCATAAAGAGAATTCAGCATAGTAAAGTACAGGAGAAGAGAAGATATGAACTAGTACAAAATAATAAAATACCTGAATTTCTCTTCCTCCTAAATATGGCTAACTTCGACATTATATTTGTCTGTGAAACATGGCTCAATGCATCTCTCCCCGACTCCATTACCACAGTAAGAGACTATCATGTTTACAGATCAGATCGTGAAAATCGTCGAGGAGGTTTTTTATATTCTATAAAAAATCCTTACATCTAAAAAATATCCAAGTTACCCAGGAGCTTGCCCTTCCTGAAACCATCATCTGTGAACTATCCTCAAATATCACAATTCGATTCTTACTATGTTACAGAGCACCTGATTATGACATCGAACATATAAACAAGCTAAATACATTACTAACATGGGCTGCATCCTGCCCATACCCTTTTATCCTTCTTGGTGATTTCAATCTACCTCATATTAACTGGACCCTAAATGATTGTACAACTGAAATCATACACACAACCTTCTATAATGCTATTACAAATCTGGGACTGGAACAACTAGTAATCAACAACACTAGACTAAACAACTGTCTCGATCTCATCTTCTGCAACAGTTTGAACCTAATTTACGGAATACAAACTAAAGAACCCTTTTCCAGTAGTGACCACAATATGATCGACTTTTGTCTCAACATACATCCACACAAAAATCACCACAATGATGTAATCCCCGATTGTAACTTCAAAAAAGGCAACTATGATCTTATAGACAACGATCTCTCATCCCTTGATTGGCAAACTCTATTCACTGGATGCAATACCGTTGAAGACCATTATAACATATTTTTACTTGAAGTCAAAAGAGTCATCAAACTATATGTTCCAACAACAACTCCCAAAACAAAACAAAAAAGCAGATTACCCATATCAATAAGGAAACTTCAATCCAAAAAGAGATCACTCTGGCGGAAAAACAAATCTGGTCATGTTGCCAATTTCAAAAACCGATACAAAAATTTATGCCACCAGATAAAGACTGAATGCACCAATTATCACATTAAACAAGAGGAAAACCTTCTAAGCACCAATTCCACCCGAGCTTTTTACAATTTTGTAAACAACAAACTAAAAGACTCAAGGTCCATCCCTCCCTTGATAGGACCTGATGGTAAAGACTGCAACGACGACACCATTAAAGCCAACATCTTTAACACATTCTTCGGCTCAGTATTTGTAAACAGCAATGGATCATGCCCAGTATTTCCTAGCCGTACCACAGATAACAACAATGATCTAATACATATCGATTTCACAGAAGACAATGTCGAAAAATCACTACGCAATCTAAAACCATCTCTATCTATTGGACCGGATGGAATATGTGCCTACTTCTTAAGAAAGCTATCCACTGCCATAGCCAAACCTCTAAGCATAATCTTTGAAAAATCTTTCAGGACCAGCTCCTTGCCTAACCTATGGTCACAAGCCACAGTCATCCCCATCTTCAAAAAGGGAGACCCAAGCCTAGTTGAAAATTACAGGCCAATCTCCTTATGCTGCGTCACCTGTAAAGTCATGGAATCAATTATTAACCAATCCATCATCCTCCACTTAGAGTCAAACAACCTACTCTCCAATAAACAATTTGGTTTCAGAAAAAAACTATCCTGTAATCTGCAACTCTTACACTGCAAAAACATATGGACGACACAACTCGACCAGGGCAAAGCAATTGACGCAATCTACATAGACTTCTGTAAAGCCTTTGATTCAGTGGTACACGACAAACTACTCCTAAAAATAAAATCCTATGGTATCTCTGGACAACTGAATAACTGGATAGAAGCATTCCTGTCAAACAGACAACAAATGGTCAAAATCGGGAGCGTTCTATCAAATCCAGTACCTGTCAATAGTGGTGTCCCCCAGGGCAGTGTTCTAGGACCAACTCTCTTCATACTCTACATAAACGACCTCTGTGATCATATTAAGAGCAATTGCGTTCTCTTCGCTGATGATGTAAAGCTGTTCAATACCACAGACAATACTGCTACCTTACAAAAAGATCTTGACTATGTATCTGAATGGTCAAACAAATGGCAACTTCAAATCTCAACAAATAAATGCTCTGTCTTACACATTGGCAAAAAAAATCAGAAAATAAAATACAAGCTGAATAGTCAAGATCTTGTTGATGACCCAAGCTCTGTAAAGGACCTTGGAATACTCACCTCTAATGATCTAAGTGCTAGAGCCCACTGCAACTACATAGCCAAAAAGGCATTAAGAGTTGTTAACCTAATCCTACGAAGTTTTTTCTCTGGTAATATCACACTACTAACCAGAGCATACAAAACATTTGCTAGACCAATACTCGAATACAGTTCATCAGTCTGGAACCCTCATTACGTATCTGATATTAGCACAATTGAGAAAGTCCAGAAATATTTCACAAGAAGAGTTCTCCACTCTTCTACTCTTTGTAGAATACCTTATGCCACCAGACTTGAAATTCTAAAACTAGAAAACCTTGAATTACGCCGTCTTCGGTCGGACTTAAGCATGGTATATAAAATCATACATTGCAATGTCCTACCTGTCAATGAATACTTCAGCTTCAACCATAACAACACAAGAGCACACAATAGATACAAACTCAAAGTAAACCGCACCAAACTTGATTGCAGGAAATACGACTTCAGCAATAGAGTGGTCAATGTCTGGAATACTCTACCCGACTCTATAGTCTCTTCCCCAAACCCCAAAAACTTTAACCTTAGACTGTCTACTATTGACCTCACCCCTTTCCTAAGAGGTCTGTAGGGGGCGTGCATAAGCGCACCATCGTGCCTACCGTCCCTGTCCTATTGTTTCTCTTATTCTTTTATTTTTCTTATATGTACCCATTTCATGTATTCACAACTATGTATACACTTATACTTATTATCTTGTAAACAATTGGCAAATAAAATAAAATAAAATAAATAATAATAATAATAAAAAAACAGATTTGACAATGGCTCCAGGAGGCTGCAGGAGTAGTGTGGAGGCAGAAAGGCTAAATGAAACATGGGCTGAATGGGAAGAGGTGAAAAAGCTCAGGGAAATACCAGCAACACCTCTTTCCTTCTCTCAGTAACAGCCATAGCAATGAAACCAATCTGATCAAGCCAGAATAGCCAGTCTATCTAAGTCAGTAAAGTCAGCTATACAAATCCAACAAAAGTCAGGGCAGTACATGAAAAGGGACAGAACCAGCTCCAGAAGCTGATATTTTCCATCCATAAGTAGGAAATAAATACAGCAGCAGAACAATCCTAATAACAGTCAGAAAACACAAGTCATTCAACAGCAGCAACCTTGCAATGCCATTGATGGAAAGTGACTCTGCAGAAACAGAAAAGGTCAAAAAAGAGGGAATCAAAGATAGATAAGGTGGCTGAAAGCCTCTGAGATTTGGGTAGAGAGGGAAACAAGTCATCTCCCCATCCACATAGACCACAGATATACAGTAAGTGTATAGGAAAAGAATGAACTCACAACCGCAACTGAGCCCAAAATTTCCATTGCAAAATTTCCATTGTTGTTTAGAGAGTTTTGGCCTATTTTATGACCTTTTTTTTGCAACAATTGTTAAGTGAATCTGGCTTCTCTCATTGACTTTGCTTCTCAGAAGCTGGCGGGGAAAGTTACAAATGGTGATCACATGACCCTGAGACACTGTGGGAGCAGCTCCCATAAATATATGCCAGTTGCTAAGTGCCCGGATTTTGATCATATGACCACGGGGATGCTGCAATGGTCATAAGTGTGAAAACTGGTCATAAGTCACTTTTTTCAGTGCTGTTGTAACCCTGGTCACTAAACAAATGGTTGTAAGACTATCTGTACAAGTATGAGTGTGTAAGGATTGAACAAATAGGCTTAATAAAATCAATTAGGTAACAAAAAAACAGGATAAGAAAAAGAAAGACAGGGTTCAAGAAGGTTAGCAATAAACATGTAGGATAAGAGTAAGAAAAAATAAAATAACCAGAGAAAAGTGTTGTGAACTAAAGAAATGTAATTAATAAAGATTCATTTGCCTAGCAGGATCGTAATCCTGCACATCCTATTGGCCCATATAATGGCAAGTTATGATTGGTTCATTCCGAGCAATCTGACTGGCTGTTGGTGGGCCGCGCCAAGATTCAAATGCTATAACACTATCTATTGGTTATCTGGATAGCAGCTTACGCTATAAAAGAGTGACTGCTAGCCGGGGTTTTTTGTCTCTGTTATGCTTGTGAATAAAGAGCTGAAGTTCAAGGTTGACAGTCTGGTCTCCATTCATTAAGCCCATGCCTCAAACTTAACAAAAAGTAATAATTCTGGA